CCTTCAGCGACTGCTTGGCTCTGATCCAGCACCTGAGAATCCACTCCGGAGAGAAGCCCTATCAGTGTCAGGTTTGTCCAAATGCCTTTGCACAGAGCTCGTCCCTCATCGAGCACCAGAGGGTCCCCACGGGGGAGGAGCCCTACAAGTGCAGCGACTGTGGGAAGGCCTTCAGCCACACCTCAGCCCTCATGGTTCACTTGCGGATCCACATCACCGTCCTGCAGTGCCCGAGGAAGCCTCCCCACAGTGGCTCAGCATCGAAGAGAAACCTGAGTTCTGAAAGAGCTGGGAGGGACGGGGTGGGTGACTGCTGAATCCCCCCAAATGACCAGATGCTAAAGGGCAAACTCTGGGGCTGTCCGGGAACAGCTCTTCATTCTGGGACCCAGATGGAGGCCCCTGATGAACATAAAGCTATTCAGGTCATCTGGCGAAGCTTCTAGAAGGCTCCTGCTGCCCTCCATACCCCACTCAAGCCCATCTCAGAGAGAGGACAGCTGAGCTGAGGATGTGGATTGCTCCTCAGAGCCAAAGCAGTCAGGGTCAAGTTGCTCTCAGGACTCAGTGGTCCCTGGATGCTTGGGGCGGGGAGGCTCCAGCTTCACATTCCCACATGGCATCTCTTCTTGCCTGTTCCTCTCCCACGCAGCCCAGGAGGGACACCTGCCCGTGCCCACCTCTGTGCCTTCACACATGCTGTTTCCCTCCACCTGTTCACGTCTGACTCCAAGGCCAGCTTGTGAGGCTGCCTTTTCCAGACCCTCAGCCTCTATCGCATTTTCTGTGTCCTGAGCGTACGGCTGGCCACTTGCCCGGCATCCGTTTCTCCCTCCCTTCTCCTTCCACATCCCACCAGTCGTCAGCCCTGTTGGTTTTACTTACAACCACCTCCTCTCCATCTTCTCCACCTTTGTTACCTTACGCGAGCCCACATCACCTGTCACCTGGATTCCAGCAGGGGTCTCCTTCCTGACCCCTTCCTGCTTTCATCACACACACATACACACACCACACACATCCCAGACCACACATCTACACAGACGGCATACATACACACACCACACACATACACACACCACACACATACACACACCACACACATCCCACACACCACACACATCCAAGACCACACACATACACACACCACACACATCCAAGACCACACACATACACACACCACACACACACCACACACACACCTCACACACACCACACACACCACACACACACACACACACACACACACCATTGTTTTCTTTTCCACACCAGCTTCCAGCAGGCTCTTTCCACAGCCCGGATCTGATTGTATCTCTCCATGTGGGAAGCTCTCCACTGCATCACCTTCCACAGCAAAGCTTCCTGAATGGGTTACAAGTTTGCCAAGATATAAGCTGCTTTGGGTGCCAAGCCGTCTCTCCAGTTACCTTCCTATGTGTGTAGGAATACTGTCATTTTTCTGTGTGTGCAGTGAAGATGGTTTCAAAGTCCTGCCCTGTGGGATAAACCTCAGATCCGTCATCTGCTGTTCACGGTCATCCATGACTGGCCCCCAGCCTTTGTCTCCCGTGGCCACACCTCCCACAAACCAGCCACACGGAACAACGTGCGGTTCCTGAAGAAGCCACCCTTTTTCCCGCGAACGTGCCTTTGTGCCTGTGCCTGGAACCCACCTCTCTTCTTCCCTCCAAGATGTTTCCAGTATCCCTCCCCAGCCACCTCAGACAGACTTCAGCTTGCCCCCTCTGCTTCCAGAGTGCCTCCCCCTTACTCCTCTTAAACCTCCTACCATATTATATGTACTCCTTACAGAGCTTGGAAACTGTGTTTCCCAAGGACACTGTGAGCTTCCAAGAGCAGGGGCCATGTCTTATTCTCAGTATCCACAGCACACAGGGCAATGGGCCCTGACCCATGGCTGCTGAATGCATGACTGACGCCTTCCCGGAGGCGGTCACCACGCTGCACCCTACGTCGTCCTTGTAGATGTTTACGTGGCTCTCTCCCCCGCGCCAGCTGTGGGCCCTACAGGGCAAAACAATCCAGTTTCTCCAGGGCCCCAGCACTCAGACCAGCCTGGCACGCAGCAGCCTCAATAAAATATTCCTGTATTGAGTCCACCCTTTCCATGGCCCCAGAGCCCCCCTGGTGCCGTGGGCTCTGGCAGCCAGCATCCTGTCACTGCTCTCTGCCTTCTCTCACAATGCTGTATCCCTGTCCCTCTTGCAGGGTCCATGTCTGTAACTGGATATCGCAGCCTCTGTTCCTAACTGCCAGGGCGTCAGCCTTCTTTCCTTTGTTTCTCTGATGACCCCATCACGTGTGAACCATCTGACACAGCCCATACTGTTGTGTACTGGTCATCGTCACCATCTCTCCCTGTGTTTCTCCCTCCGTATTGGATTCGTTCCTTCTGTGTCATGAGTAAACAAAGACCGACCGACGTGGGTGGTTCAGAACAGGAAGGCTGAGACCCAGGGAGACGGAGATCTTGTGTCAGCATCTCTGAGAGAGTCCCAGGTACACCTAGACACAGGTCGCCTTCCACACAGAGTGCGGCCAAGGCCGAGAGACTGAGAAAGTTGACAGATGTGGGGGGAAACTCAGAGGCAAGAGATGCATGTTCCCAGTGCCCCCAGGCCTCCAACAGGCTGCAGGGAGTGGCCCTGAAGTTAGGCTGCTTTGGGGGCGTCGGATAAGTGACCTCCCTGAACCTCAGTGACCTACTCAGCCTGGAAAGAGGGGATGATCAGATGTGCTTGGATCTTCCTGGATCTTCCATCCAGGAAGATCCCACATGCCACGGAGCGGCTAGGCCTGTGAGCCATGGCCACTGAGCCTGCGCGGCCGGAGCCTGTGCTCCACAACGGGAGAGGCCACAACAGTGAGAGGCCCGCGTACCGCAAAAAAAAATAAAAATAAAAAAAGATGACGTAATAGTTTGAAACCAGGCAGGTTTTAACAGCCTTGTTATAGGACAGAATCACAGTGAGAGACTCATGAAACCATAAGTATAGTTGGAAATGAAATCACATTCTTTGTGATGATGGTGGAAAGAATATTTGAAGAAATAATGGCTGGAAACTTTCCCAATTTGGCAAAAGGTATAAACTTACAGGTTCGGAAAGCTCAGTGAACCCAAAACAGCAGAATCTCAAAGAAATCCATGCCCAGACACATCCTAATCAAAGCTGAAAACTAAAAACATTTCAACTTTTTGAAAGCCGCCTGAGAAAAACTATGCCTCACATAAAGATTAATACAAAAGATCATAGATTTCTTTTTTATTTATTTAGCTGTGCCACGTCTTAGTTTCACAGGATCTTCGTTGCCTCGTGCGGGATCTTTAGTTGTAGCATGCTGGATCTAGTTCCCTGATCACAGATTGAACCCAGGTCCCCTGCATTGGGAGCGCAGAATCTTAACCGCTGGACCACCAGCGAAGTCCCGTAAGATCATAGACTTCTTATCAGAAATCATAAAGGCCAGAAGGCAGGGAAACAACATTTTTTAAGTGCTGAGAAAAAGAAAGGTCAGTCCGAATTCTATATGCAGTGAAAATGCACTTCAAGAATGAAAGCAGGGGCTTCCCTGGTGGCGCAGTGGTTAAGACTCTGCCTGCCAACTCAGGGGACATGGGTTGCAGCCCTGGTCCAGGAAGATCCCACATGCCACAGAGCAACTAAGCCCGTGAGCCAGAACTACTAAGCCCACGTGCCACAACTACTGAAGCCTGCAGGCCTAGAGCCCGTTTTCCACAACAAGAGAAGCCACCACAAGGCGAAGCCCGTGCACCACAATGAAGAGTAGCCCCCACTCGCCGCACCTAGAAAAAGCCTGTGCGCAGCAACGAAGACCCAGTGCAGCCAAAAATAAATAAATAAAATGAATTAAAAAAAAAAAAAGAAAGCAAAGTAAAGACATCCTCAAGTGAAGCAAAACTAAGACAATCTGTTGCAAGCAGGCCTGTACTAAAAGAAATGCTACAGGGACTTTAGATTGCTTACATTAAGATATGTATGATGGTGGAAAGTAAAATTTATGACATTTTCTGGTAGGGTTTTCAGTGTATGTTAACGTGGTATATATGACAACTGCAGCATAAAGAGAGGGGGGTATCAAAATTCATTCAGTGACATATTTGAGATTTGTACATTTTACTGTATATAAATTATATCTCAAAGAAAACCATTAGTGTACAAGATTTTTTAAAAAATTTAAAGAGGAAAATAAAATAAAAATAAATAAAAAAATAAAAATAAAAATTTAAAGAGGGGAGGATAAAGAGACCTATATAGTGATAAAGTTTCTAAATCCCACTTTAAGTGGTAAAATATTAATTCTAAGTTGACTGTGAAGAGTTAAGTATGCATACTGTAATCCTTAGAGAAATCCCTAAAAAAGACTATACAAAGAGATGATCAAAAACTCAGTAGATGAATTAAAATGGAACCTGAGAAATAATAACCCAAAAGAGGGCAGGAAAGGGGAAACAGACGGATAACAGAAGGAACAAACAGAAAAGAAAAAGGTGGACCAAAACCCAAGCATATCCATTGTTGCATGTAAATAGTCTAAACATACCAATTAAAAGGAATTTTTTAAAAAATAAAATAAAAAACCTACTTTAAATATAATGATATAGGTAAGCTTAAGGTAAAAGAGTGGGGAAAGGTATATAATGTGAAAACTCCATCAAAGAATGCTGCAGTGACTATGTTAATATCAAACCAAGTAGACTTCAGAACAAGGAAAATTACCAGGAATAAAGAGAGAAATTACATAGTAATAAAGGGCCAATTCACCAAGAACACAAAACAATTCAAGTATGTATGCATCTAACAACAAAGCCTTAAAATACAGGAAACAAAAACTGGTAGAGCTGAAAGAAAATAACAGGCAAATTCACAATTATACTTGGAGACTTCAACACCCCTCTCTCTAGAATCAGCAGAACAAGAAGACAGAAAATCAATAAGGATACAAAAGAACTGAACAACATATCAACCAGCTGGATGTAATGGATGAACTGCCAATAGTTGATCTTTTTTTTATCCACAAAGAAGTAATTTCCCATGATTTAAAGTAACACAAACCTATTTTTAAGCCTAACATTAGGCTGTTACTAATGTTTAACCCCAAAAGTCAATGACCTAAGTTTCCACCTGAAGAAAAGGAAAAAGAAGAAATTAATTCAGAAGTAAGTAGAAGGAAGGGACTAGTAATGATACAAGAAGAGATTCACAAAGTAGAAAAGAGACAATACAAAAATGAGCAAAGCCAAAATGTAGTAAGTTCTTTGAAAAGATTAATGCAGTTGATGAGCCCCTAGCTAAACTGACAGAGAGAGAGGGAGAAGGGACACCACATCAGTCATGAAAGAGGTGACAGCACTACAGACCCTGCAGGCACTAAAAGAATGCAGGAGTGTTACGAGCAACTCCGTGCCAGTAAATCAGACCTCTCAGAAGAAATAGGCAAAAACCCAGTTTATCAAGTATTAGTTGATAATGCCAGCCTAATACACAACTGCTGTATGCCAGCATCTCGAGGGCCAAGCTCCAGGCAGGAGCTGGGCAATAGTCCAGGAGGGCGTCGGGTGGGGCAAAGGGGGCTCAGAATCGAGGGACAGTGGGGAAGGACAGGACTCCCACTCCTCCCACAGCTCCAAGTTCTGATGTGGGAGACCTGGCCTCTGGTTGGAGACACAGTCTGGCACCACCACATGGTGGCCACTCAGACTGGGAAGACAGAACTACACAATGCAGCCTCTGAACTGCCTCCCAGTTCAGTCAAGTTCTGTTTGGAGCCTCAAGCTGCCCACCCACACCTGCTGGCGACTGGGCAGAGGTGACTGGGGAGTAGCTTAACGGAAGAAGGCAGAAGAAGGCAGTCTTGAAAGTGGGGGCGCAGAAGCACCCCTACCCTCGGCACCCCTACCCTCAGGATCCAACGCGGAGCCCATCCACCTTCAAGACCCAGGATCACAGCCCACTTCCCTCGGCTCTGGGACTCCAGCCCCCCTGCATCAGGGCTGCCATTGGCCAAAGACACATTTTTAAAGTCTGTCTTCACGTTTATTGTTTCCTGGCATGGTTGAGGAAGAGCCATCCCTGCCCTCTCCCCCCAGGGGAAGTCCAGCTTCCAGCTGCAGGAAGAGGGATCAGAGCCAGACTGGAGAAAGGACTTCCCAAGGATACCATCAGCAGCCTGGGTCTGCAGCCGAATCAGCTTCCTAGACAAATTTGACAGAAGAGAAATGCTAGGGAAAGGAGGCTCCCTGGTGAGTCAGAGCAGACCTCACTGAGACCCCCCCAGGAAGGAAGTGGCTTGGTCAGCTGCCAGCTAAGACCCCCCCACCACACACACACACCTGGGCCTCCCTACAGGTGCTCCAGCTGGCCAGGCCACTCTCTGCTTTAGGGCCTTTGCCTATGTGGTTCCCTGCCTGCAATTCCCCCCCCACGCACCCAGCAGACTAGGCCAGTGTTAGTGCTGGGAGGAGGTGCGGGAAAGGGCACCCCTGTAGGAGGGTAGAATCCGGGCAAAGGCCGGGAGCCTCGATGCGCCCACGGAACCGAGCTCCACCTGCCACCTGGAGCTCCACCGGGTCGCTGAGCTGGGACAGCAGGGAGTGGGCCCAGTTGGAGCGGTAGCCGCAGCTGTAGTTGCCGGCGTGTTGGGGCCCCACGTAGGTCAGCACGAGGTCCGCGGAGGGGTCGGTGGTCCAGGCCACCGCCGAGGGCTCCTCTTTGCCGGACCGTAGCAGCAGGAAGGAGACGTCGGGCACGTGGCCCTCGCAGCGTAGGACAGCATCGCGGCCCGGAGTCACGGCCCCCGTCCACAGGGCCCGGAGCCGCGGCTTGGGCAGGGGTCCTGGGAGAGCAGCGGGTCGGTCAAGTGAAGCCCCTTGCCCCAGGCAGCAGCGGCCCAGCCCCGCTCCATTGCCAGCCCCCTTCTCCAGCCAAGGTTGCTGGCCTCACCGTGGTCACTGCGCTGTAACCGTAGTGTCTCCCTGTACACGTCCCCGCACCCCCCAGGCCCGGGCCTTCTCTGAGACTCCCTGGGGTCCCCAGCGAACGGCACTCAGGGCTTCAAGACAGGTGAGGAGAAGGAAGACAGGAGCCAGGGGAACGGGTTCCCGCAGAGGGCACAGCGCAGTCAGTGGTCTGGTGGTGGACCCTGTGCGGGGGGCTCTGCCTGACCTCCGACCCCAGGAGATCCGGATGAGGAAATCAGAGGAACACACAGACCCCAGGGCCGGCGGGGGCTCGGGGAGAATTACAGCTCAGCCCTCCGCCGTGGGCGCCTGGGAGCAGGCAGAGGTGGGGTCATAATCTGACCACTGCCGACAGGCCTGTCGCACAGGGAACCTAAGGCGTGAGCCAGTGCAAAGCCGTTAGCACTCTGAACCCTAAGTTCCGGGTCCTCTCTCCACGACCTCCACCAAAGCGCTACACGTAGCCCCGGTTGGAAACAGGCCAAAAGGCTGGGCGTCCCAGGGCCCTGGCGGCCGACCTCGCGCTCCCCTAAGGAGCCGCCGACTCTGCGGGCAGGACCGAGGCCCAGAGCGCTTCCCTTCGGCGTCCTGGGACAGGCGGGCACCCTCGTTTTGCGCACGGGCAGAAGGAGGCTCCGGACCAATGTGCCCGCCGCTCACCGTCCACGCGCAGCTCCACGGGCGCGCTGGGCGCGGAGCCCGCGAAGGGCGGCGCCGTGTCTGTGTAGACGCAGCTGTAGTTGGCCGAGTCGACCGCCGAGACGTCGCGCAGCTCAAAGTGGGCCTCCGTCCCCGCGGGGCTCAAGAGACCTTGCACCCGGCGCTGGCCCGCGCCCTCGCGCACCAGGAAGAAGCGCACGCCGGCGCGGGGGGCCCGGCACCGCAGCTGCACCAGCGTCCCCGGCTCGGGACTCAGAGTCGCGGGCTCGGCCGACAGCTCCGGCGCCGGGAGCGTCCCTGCGGGGAGGACGCGGCAAGGCTGACGCCCAACGCCGCATCTTTCCGCCGGAAAGAGTGCGCCCCGCTCCCTCTGCTCCTTCCCGGGAGGCCCGCCTGCACCGCCCTGCGTAAAACCGCACCATCCGCCCGACGTCCCGGCCCTCGTCCTCCTTGGACGCTCACGCACGCTCCTACACTGTTCCTAACTAATTTGTGTGCCCACAAAAACAGACGGGTGTGGGGTCGTGTTTTGTTGGAGGAGCATCCGCGCCCGCCTCCCCCGCCGGCGTCCACTCCTGGGGTTTACGCCCCTGGTCCTTGGCGGGTCCTGCAGCCCCAAACTGGCCACCCTCAACAGAGAGGCCTCGGCGCCCACCCGGACCCCGGAGGCTGGGGGCCCCCGTGCATGTAGCGCCTGCATGGCCAGACTTGCGCGTGGACCCAATTATTCTTCGCGGGGCCACGAGGCTGGGCTCATTTTTCTGTCCTCAGCTGGGGAAACTGAGGCCGGGCAGATGAGTCGGGATTGAGCCCTGGCAGTTACCGGGACCCTTCCCTGGGTCTTTCCTCCCGCTGCCCCGAGGGCAGAGCGCCCCGTCCTCCCTCCCCGCTGCCACATCCCCCAGGCTCACCATCGCTCAGCACCAGCTCGGCGGGCGCGCTGTCCAAGGACCAGAGCGCTAGCTCCTCTGGCAGCCGGTAGCGGCACGTGTAGACACCGCCGTCTCCTGGGGCCAGCGTGTTCAGCTGGAAGAAGATGCGGTCTGGGCTGGTACTGCCCATGGGTACCTGCAGCACGTCCTCGCCCCGCCGCAGCTGGAAGTGCACCCCGCTCAGGGGCGCCACGCAGGTGAGAGTCGCGCTCGAGCCGGGGCGTAGGAGCCCGGCAAACCCGCCATTCAGAGTCAGCGTGGGTGGTGGCGGCGTGGCTGCAAGGCAGGGACAGTCACTGGGGCGGCCAGAGTCCCAACCATCCCCGCTGTGGGAGCGTTCCTTGGAGCCCAGCCTCCAGACCTCTTGCCCAGGGAACAGCCTTCCTTGTGGCAAATTCCCACGCCACTATCAAGGCGGGGCAACTGCGTGGCCACTGTTTCCCAGACCCAGTCCTGGACAGGGGTATTCAGGGCCGGGGGTCAGGGTAAAAGCTACTCTGTCTCCAGGAGCCTTCTCCCCCAGGAAGCCCTCTGGGATGGTCCACCCACTCACCCAGCTCCTCTATGGTCACAGTGGCACTGGGCTCCGAGGGGGCGCCTGATGCGTGGGTCCGGTAGCTGCAGCTGTAGATGCCAGCCCGGTGGACTGGGAAGGTGGCCTGCCTGTCCTTTGGGGCCTCAGCCACCTCCAGAAACTTGTCATCACCTTCCCGCCTCAGCAGGAAGGTCACACCGCGAAGTCCCCCGAGGCACAGCAGTCTCGTGTTCAGGCCCGGTGTGATCCAGGGCACGGGTTTGGTTGAGAGCAAGGGTGGGGGCAGGGGCTCTGCGGCGGGGGCGGGGGGTGGGGTGCAGGGGTCATGGGTGGTTCTGCCTGACTTGGAAGATACGGGGCCCTAGGCGGACCTGGACCTCCACACTCATGGAAATGTGAGGGAGCCAGGAGATGGAAGGCATTGGTGGGGGTGGAGGGGTGGAGGGGTGGCGGGACAGGCCGAGACAGGGACAGGGGACTACAAGAGGAAGACGCGTTCAGGGCCCAACTGTGGCCAGGCCTGCCCTAACCGCTTCCTGAGGATTCAGTCATTTATTCCTCACAGCCTTCTAGGGTTGGTACAAACATCACCCTCATTTTACCAATGGGGAAACTGAGGCTCAGAGATGTTACCTGACTTACCCAAGGCCACCAGCCAGTCGGGGAGGGGGCCGGAAGAGAACAGGGAGAGTGAGGAGTGGAGGAAGGGAGGCCTCTCCAGCAGCCTCTCTTCCTGCCTCGAGGCCCGTGAGCCCTCCACTCACCTGCTCCAGTCACCTCCACGAGGTTGCTCAGGCTGCTCCTCCCACTGTCCATGCTGTAGTGGCAGCGGTAGAGGCCCCGGGTGTCACCGGTCACTGCTCCCAGCGGGAATCTGTACTCGGTGGCAGGTGAATCCAGGTGCACCAGTCCCTGGGCCACTCCATCCTTGAAGAGCTGGAACTCCAGGGTCCACAAGGGGCTCTGGCATGTCAGCGTCACGTTGGCCCAGGGTTCCAGCAGCGATTCGGCCTCTGCCCACAGGGTTGGCCTTGTGTCGATGTCTGTGTGGGGATGGGTGTCAGATCTGGGGGCCCAGGCAGGGGTTCACCCCACAGCGCCCACCATGCCCAGGCCCGGCCCACTCACATTGGACCTCCTCGGTCACTGGGTTCAGGGCGAGACCTGCGGAGACGCACCACCTGTGAGGCCCCATGGCTGTTCATTCCCGCCCCTTATCTGGCTCCGGGGACCCCAGGCAGGACGCCTCACCCCAGAGCAGCAGGAGGGCCACCCGTGCGGACATGGTCAGCCTCACTGCAGCCACAGGAGTGTCTGCCGGGTGATAAGGCCCAGCCAGGGCGGCTGGGAGGGTGGGGTGGGGGGGAGGGCGCGGGGCACTGACCTCGCAGCTCATTCGTATTTCCAGGAAAGCAGGGCTCCAGGGGGTCGGGACAAAGGGCAGATGTGGCCTCAGGAGTCTCAGCTATAGCAACAATCAATAACTGCAGAATGAATAAACTAAATTAATAATAAAGAGTAAAGATAACAAAATAAATGATATAATAGCAGCAAAGAATAACAAATGAAGAAAATTAATAATAAATAGTAAATGGAAAAATAATAAGAACATTATTTAAATAAAAATAAAATTGTGAATTTCCTGCTGGTCCAGTGGTTAGGACTCCACTGCGGGGGGCAAGGGTTCGATCCCTGGTCAGGGAACTAAGACCCTACATGCCAGGCAGTGTGGCAAAAGAAAAAAAAAGAGAGAGAGAGAAAAGAAATACATTAAAATAAAATAAATACTAAACCAAGTAATGTAATAAATAATAACAAATACATTTAAATAATAGTATGGAATCATAGTTAGCAAACAAAATTACCAATAAGTAATAAAATGATTAAAGTGAAAAGAATTAATTAATGATGAGAGAAAGGATAAAACACTAAGTATTAAAAACAGATAATGCAATAAATGACAACGAATTAATAAAAGTAATAAAATAATGTTAGAAATAGATAGTATAATAAATAAGAAATACATTAAAGTAATAAACGAATATTTAAATTGATGGTTTGTTTATAAGTAAAATAATTGATAATAAAATAAAAATAAGTAATAAAATTATGAGGCACCTACTGTTGTGGTTCACAGCATTCTGCGCATGGACTTGGGCAGTAGGTGGTGTTACTATCAGCTCCATGTTAGGCGTGAAGGAAATGAGGCAGGTGGGGGCCTGTCCTCTGGCACATTCCCCTCTGCAAGGCCTCTCATCTCCTCCCCCCAACAGCTGAGCAGTACTGGGATCCCCACTCACCCTGGGGCAGGTGAAGGCAGTGGGCAGGGCCCAGGGCAACCCCAAGCCCCACGTGGGCCCACCCGACATGCAGTATTGGAGGTGTGCCGGCCAAGGTGGGATTCGCCTGTGTCTGGATTTTCTACACTTTGCATCATGCAGGCCTCCTGCAGGCGCATCCTGGCTCTTGCCTGGAGCTGTGGTTCCTTCTCCCTCGCTGGTTAATTCCGCAATGTGTGACCCACCATGGATTTGGAGACACATTTGCACCCAGGCCATTCAGTTCAGACCTGTGCTTCCACCCTGGTCCTGTTCCTGTGCTCAGGTTGTGGACAGTTTTCTGAGCTGCCTTTGTCATTTATTGCATTATCCATTTTTAATCGGCAGGCGGACTCCCAACCACTGCGCCACCAGGGAAGCCCTTTACTTATTTTTTAATTTTTGGCTGTGTTGGGTCTTCATTGCTACGTGTGGGCCCTCTCTAGTTGCGGTGAGTGGGAGCTACTCTCTGTTGCAGTTCACGGGCTTCTCATTGCAGTGGCTTCGCTTGTTGCAGAGCACAGGCTCTTAAGTACGTGGGCTTCAGTATTTGTGGCACCTGGGCTCAGTAGTTGTGGCTCACAGGCTTTAGAGTGCAGACTCAGTAGTTGTGGCCCAAGGGCTTAGTTGCTCCACGGCATGTGGGATCCTCTCAGACCAGGGCTCAAACCTGTGTCACCTGCATTGGCAGGCGGATTCCTAACCACTGCGCCACCAGGGAAGGCCTGTGTTACTTTAAATCATGGGAAATTACTTCTTTGTGGATAAAAAAATCGACTATTGGCAAGTTCATCCATTACATCCAGTTGGTTGATGATGTTGTTCAGTTCTTTTGTAACCTTACTGATTTTCTGTCTTCTTGTTTTGTTGATTCTAGAGAGAAGGGTGTTGACGTCTCCAAGTATTATTGTGAATTTGTCTATTATTTTCTTTCAGCTCTATCAGTTTTTGTTTCCTGTATTTTAAGGCTTTGTTGTTAGATGCATACATATTTGGAATTATGTCTTCTTGGTGAATTGGCCCTCTATCACTGTATAATCTCTCTCTTTATTCCCGATAATTTTCCTTGTTCTGAAGTCTACTTGGTTTGATATTAATATAGTCACTGCAGCATTCTTTGACGGAGTTTTCATATTATATACCTTTTCCCACTCTTTTATTTAAGCTTACCTATATTATATTTAAGGGTGGTTTCTTATTTTCTTTTTAAAATATTCATTCTGGCAAATTCTTTTAATTGGCATATTAGACCATTTACATGTAACAATGGATATGCTTGGGTTTTGGTCCACCTTTTTCTTTTCTGTTTGTTCTTTCTGTTGTCCGTCTGTTTCCCCTTTCCTACCTTCTTTTGGGTTATTTCTTTCTCGGGTTCCATTTCAGTTCATCTACTGAGCTTTTGATCATCTCTTTTTATGGTCTTTTTTTAGGGGTTTATCCAGGGATTACAGTATTCATAACTCTTCACTAACTCTTCACTAACTCTTAAGTGTACTTAAGAGTTAATATTTTACCACTTAAAGTGGATGTAGAAACTTTAGCACTATATAAGCCTCTTTACCCTCTGCTCTTCAAATTTTTTTTTAATTTGGTACTCTAATGGTTTTCTTTGAGATATTTATATACAGTAAAATGTTCAAATGTCAAATATATCACTGAATGAATTTTGATACCCTCCTCTCTTTATGCTGTAGTTGTCATTTATACCACATTAAAACCCTGTGGTATAAATGACATTTCATTGTCAAGGAAACTCTGCCAGACAATGTTATAAATTTTTCTTTCAACAATCATACATATATTAAAGATCGAACATACGCAATCTGTTACTCTTCCTTCATTCCCAAGGTTCAAATTTTCCTTCTGCTATCATTTCCCTTCTGACAAATGCTAAACTCCCTATTTAGCATTGCTTTTAGAACAGGTGTGCTTGCAACAAATTGTCTTAGTTTTGCTTCATTTGAGGATGTCTTTATTTTGTTTTCATTCTTTTTTTGAAATATATTTTTTATTTACTTATTTGGTTGCACTGGGTCTTAGTTGCAGCACGCAGCCTCCTTAGTTGCAACACGTGGGCTCCTTAGTGGTGGCATGCCAACTCTTAGTTGCAGCATGCATGTGGGATCTAGTTCCCTGACCAGGGATCTAAACCGGTGCCCTGCATTGGGAGCGCAGAGTCTTAACCACTGCGCCACCAGGGTAGTCCCTATTTTGCTTTCTTTCTTGAAGTGTATTTTCATTGTATATTGAATTTGGACTGACAGTTCTTTTCTTCAGCACTTTTTCCCCCCCTTCGGTACGCGGACCTCTCACTGTTGTGGCCTCTCCCGTTGCGGAGCGACAGGCTCTGGACGCGCAGGCCCAGCGGCCATGGCTCACGGGCCCAGCCGCTCCGCGGCATGTGGGATCTTCCCGGACCGGGGCACGAACCCATGTCCCCTGCATCGGCAGGCGGACTCTCAACCACTGCGCCACCAGGGGAGCCCTCTTCAACACTTTAAAAATGTTGTTTCCCTGCCTTCTGGCCTTCATGATATCTGATAAGAAATCTGTGATCTTTTGTATCAATCTTTATGTGAGGCATAGTTTTTCTCAAGCTGCTTTCAAAAAATTTAAATTTTAGTTTTCAGCTTTGCTTATGATGTGTCTGGGCATGGACTTCTTTATGATTATGCTGTTTTGGCTTCACTGAGCCTCCTCATGCCCCCTACATCCACAAGGGTTCTCCCCAGCAGGAAGCTAGAGAGAGAGGGGTTTTGACTGGGCTCACAGCCCTCCTTGCCCATATGGACTGTCTGGTGCTTGATGAAGTTGGACCACCAGCAGAAGCTTTTCCACATGCTTCTCACTCAGACAGTGTCGTAACCAGCCTTCAAGACAGCTGCTAATGACCCTCATCTCCTAGCTTCCACACCCTTGCTTGCATATTCTTCTCTGCATTGAATCAGGGATGGTCTGTGGCACGAATATTATATGGCATGAGTGACAGTGAGCGACCTGGACTCAACTCACTCGCTCTGGGGAAAGTCAACTGCTGTGTCATTGGGACACTCAAGCAGACTTGCACAGCGGTCCGCATAGAGAGGGACCACCTGCCAACCACACTAGCAGCCAGCCATGTTTGACATAGTGGCTGCTCTGTTGTCAGGGGCCCTGGTGAGTGAGTGGGGGTGAGTGTTGCCCTTGCCAACCCACAATGTATGGTGGAAGTGGGGGGTTAGTTTTAGTGTTTTCAGTCGGTAGGGCATTAGCGTTGTCACTGCAGTGGAGCTGAGCCCACCTGGTCACATTCCTAGGCTCTCTCCAGAAAGACTCCCCTTGTGTTCAGGCTTGATGGAAACTGTTATTACACTTGCATATCAACCGGGTTTCTCTTTGGTTTGAATGTTTTTAGGTCTATCAAGACGACTGATGGGTGTGCATCATCCATGACACACTGACCACACTGGGAGTTTGCCTCCCTCATCAGCCCCCTCGTGTCCACCAAGGATTGAGTTCTCAACAACAGAACTCTTCAGAATAAATGTCCTGGTTGTCTGTAAAAGGTTGAGCTGTCCTTGGCGATACCACTTTAGCTGGGTTTCTCCTCAGGATGAATTGTGTGGATGATAAAAAGAAAAAACCCAAGTTCCACTTTTGCCTGAGGTGCTCCACTAGCCACAGGGGTGGGGAGACTTCCAGGTCTCCTGAATGGCCTCTTCCGCTTGCCCCACCGCACTGCTCTCTGGAATGAGCTCTCAGGTGTGCCATGTGGGTGGCAACTGCAGCCTTCCTCACATTCTTGCACTACTCAGGGTATCTGTCCAGCACGACTTTGCTGGTGTTTAGTAAGTATACAAGGAAGTGTAAACGTGCCCCTAAAATACTGAGAATAGAACGGCAGGGGCATGTGTTTTCATTTCTGCTGGACTTGCAAAGAGACCAGCTTTGCGAATTTTAGCCTCTACTCCAGGGTGGAATGTGACGTGGCCAGGATAGCTGCAACTTGGGAGAAACCTCTGGAAAGAGTACTGGGTGACTGGCTTGCCGCAGAGCAGGGGAACTCAAGCCCTCGGGAGGTGAGTCCTGAATTAAGCAAGACACAATAAAGGGCTGGATGGTGTCCTGCAAGCCAGGCCTGGGAATGGAGAGCCAACAGCTTCCTTACCCCAGGGGACCCACACATCCTCCTCTTCCCAGGCGACAGGATTTCGGGACAGGAGACAGAAAGTGAAGGGTGATTCACCAGGGCTTTGCTGCAGGGTCCACGCCACATTCAGGGACCCCCTTTGGAAGCATGGAGGCCCAGACGGTGAGGGACGTGGTGCTGAGCCCACCTCTGCCCTCCCTCCAGGAGGCTCTGGCTGGGCCCCCCGCCCGTGGCCTCTCTGGGCACCCTGATATGGTTGAGAGTCTTCCCTGCCCCCACCCTCAGTTAAGGTGAGGATCAAAAGGGGTGATTAAGGGCAGAGTGCCCAGCACGATGCCCGGCCTGTAATGAGTGTGTGCAAATGTTGGCTTCTGGAGTGGAGAGTCCTTGGAGTTTCACTTTGGAAAGAGTGTGGAGGATGGGGTGGGGAATAAATTAGAATCATATACAAACATAACCATACATACAGCTAGGAAAGAAACATGCTGCTCCAGGTCTCGGCTGGACTCCACCTAAGTGGTGGCCTCGGGCAGGTGTAGCCACACCTTCAAGTCTCCCTCCTTGATTGCGCCCACGCCGCAGGGGCTTCTGGGAGACGTAGTCCATCCTGGCGTCCGGACAGGAGGGGACGAGCGCTCGGGGTGGGAAGGACCACCTGGCTTTGATGTAACGTGACATCCCCACCTGCCAATCACAGACCAGCCCAAAGTTGCCAGGGAATCCCGCCCCTCCCCCAACAGAGCCCTCTCCACAGCGACCACTGAACCGCCAGGCGGTGGGCAGGCAGAGTCCCAGCCCCAGAAGCCCCCGGCCAGCAGCCTCGGGTAGGTGCACGAGATGCGCAGGGGCCCACTCCCGAGGCCAGGGAGGTCAGAGGCGGAGGCCTCGCCAGATCTAAGAGAGGAGGGGGGGCCCAGCTACGCCAGAGGGTGTGCAGACACCCCCAAGGCGACCGAGGGCTACTGAAGCCCCCTAGGAAGCTTCAGGTGGGGGACGCCTGTGGACGCCGTGTGCGCGAGGCGAGGTTTAACGCGCCGCCCGCGGGCTGCTGCTGGTGCTCGTGGAGGTTGGATCGCTGGCTGAAGGCGCGGCCGCAGCGGCCGCACGCATAGGGCTGCTCGCCGGTGTGTGCGCGCGCTGGGCGCGGGAGGCTGCAGTTGCGCACGAAGGCCTGGCCGCAGTCCGCGCAGATGCAGGGCTTCTCCCCCGAGTGCAGGCGCTCGTGCTGGTGCAGCTCGGAGCAACCCCGGGAGGTCTTCCCGCACTTGGGACAGCCGTAGGTCTGGTCACCGGTGTGTGCAAGCCGGTGCTGCACCAGGCCGGAGCGGCCCTTGAAGGCCTTGTTGCACAGCCGGCACACGTAGGGCCTGGCGCTGCTGTGCGTGCGCCAGTGCCGGCTCAGGTTCGAGCGCTGGTTGAAGGCTTGGCTGCACTCTGAGCAGGCGTAGGGCTTCTCGCCGGTGTGCACACGCCACCGGTGCTCCGCCAGGTGCGAGAGCAGGCCGAATGCCTTGGTACGCTCGGCGCACTCATGGGGCTTCTCCCCGCGCGGCGAGCACCTCGGCCGGAAGGCCCGCGGAGCCAGGGCCGTGGCGCAGTTGCGGTGCTCGGCCGAGTGCGTCTTCTGGTGGCCCCTGGAGGCCGGAGCAGCGCACGAAGGCCTGGCCGCAGTCGGTGCACATAGGGCCGCTCACCCGTGTGGATGCCCTCAGGCTGCAGCAGTCTTGAGGTGCACGTGAAGGCCTTGCCGCACTCGACGCTGGCGTACAGCTGCTGAACCGGGCGGCCGGGCTCACGGGGGAGAGGACCCAAGGCCTGGTCGCACCTAGGACACATCCGGGGGCCCTCGTCCATCCGCTGCTGCTCGTTGGGGCTCAAGCGCTTTCCGCACCGGGCGCACGGAAGGGGCTCCTCAGCCGCCTGCATCAGCTCCTGCAGGGCCAGCGGGGACATCCGGGTACAGGCTTCGCTGTGCCGGCCCGCGGCAGGAAGCTCCACGAAGGGACTCTGCTGGAGAGAGGCCGGCAGCAGGGTCCTGGGACAGGGATGTGCGCGCAGGCGGCAGTCCGAGTGGACCTTGCACAGCGCAGCGCGGGGGCAGCTCCAGTGCAGCACCTGGACCCCACGGTGGTCACACGCAGGGGTCTTCTTCCCAGGGGGTGTCCTGGGATGCTGCACCAGGAAGGAGTTCTGGCTGGAGGCCCTGGCACCCGCTGGGCACGGACAGAGGCCCTGCCCAGCATGCGGCCCCTGAGGATGACCAGGTCAGGGTCTGGAGAGGAGGTGGGGCCACGTGACTCTTGCACCAGGCGTCCAGCTCCTGCACTCTGACAGTCCCTGCAGTGGGGCTCACACCCAGGGGAGTTGTCCTGCTGACCACGTTCCCTCCACGCAGGTCTACCCCGAGAGGGGTGTCCTTCGGCTGGGTCCTCCTCCAGGGGCCTCAGCTCTGTCTTGTGCCTCTCTGCCTGGCCCCTGTGGGCTCCCTGGGGATCTACCTTGGGGCTGCCTTCCTGCCGAGAGCTCTGGGCCCAAGGCTGCATCCCAAGGCCAGCCCACAACACGGTGTCCAGGCTGTGGGATCTGGAAGAGCAGAAGAGAATGAAGGTTTGCAGGTCCCTAAGAATGCTGACCCCAGGATGGATGCCTACTGAGTGGCCCCCACTCTCGGCAATCCAGGGAAAGGGGCAGGAGGAATGACACCCAGCCATGAGAACACTGGAGCCTCCTGTCCCTACTCTCAGGACCCATGACACTCCAGAGACCTGCTTCCCTGCCTCTCTCTGCTCCCCGGCACCCTCCCTCCTCCTTGCCACTGCTGGAGTACCTTCACCCCTGGCTTGGGACCTCAGTGGCCCCTCCCTCAAGCCACAGGGACACCCTAGTTGCTCAGCTGCCCACTCCCCAGTTTCCCTCCTCCACTCTGACTACCAGGCCCCCGGAGCCATGCCCTGATTGCTCCCTGCCTCGGCCTGGCCCAGCTCTGTCCACCTGCCATTAGCCAGCTCTTCTGTAAGGTGTGAGATGCGACTCACCTGGCAGCAGGGCTGAAGGCCCAGTGTGCCGCTCCCCACTTCTACCAGGCAAGCTTGGTTCTCAGGACTGCCAGCCTCATCTACAAAATGGGTATGATAACTGTAAATATAAACAGCTGAGCAAGGGGGCCCTGCTCATTCCAGTGACAGCCAACACCAGAAAGGGGCTGATGTCTGCAATTACTATTTCCAAACTCATCTGTGGCCATTGTCGGTTTCCTACTGCTGCTGCTGCTGTAACAAATTACCACAAGTTTAGTGGCTTAAAGCCGTGCAAATTTGTTATCTCAGTTCTGGAGGTCAGAACTCCTCAATCAAGGTTTCGGCAGCATTGCTTCCTTCTGGAGGCTCTAAGGCTCGGTTTGCTTGCCTTATCCAGCTTCTAGACACCACCTCCTTCCCTGTCTTGTGACCCTGTCTTCCATCTTCAAAGCCAGCAGTGAAACATCACTTTCTGTGTATGTCATCATATATCCTGCATATACACTCTGACCCTCCTGCCTTTTCTTGTACAAAGACACCTTGGGCCCACCACGATCTCACATATCAAGACCCTTAATCACACTTCATAGTCCTTTTTGCCACGTGAAGTAAATTCCCAGGTTCTGGGTACTAGGACATGCATATTTTTTGGAGAAGCGGGGAGCATTATTCTGCCTACCACAGTGGCCTTTTCTGAGCTTTTTATATGATTTACTGGGGAAAAACAGTAAATGCATCAAGATGCCATTTCGGTGAAACAAAACTATAAATACTTATCCTGGAATCTTGACAGATACTCAGAACCATCCCATCTGCGGAGGGGCTTGCTAGGTGGGGCGTGGCTGCAACATGCAGCTGCACTCCGCGAGGAGGGGCAGGACGGAGGAAAAGGCTCACCCGGTGGGGAGGAAGATGGAAAGAAGGGGAAGAAGAGGACATGCATGTCAATCAGGTTCCTGGCCAGTGACAGTCACTGATGACCAGAAAACTGACCTATTAAAGAGCCCATGGGTAAGGATGAGAATTTTCTCTAGGTTCTTGTTCCTTCCAAAACAAAGACAGATCTGTCCAGTGCAGCCTCTGCGTTATGAATGTGTGACCACAGTAAATCACCATCTCACTGGGCACCAGGGCTCAGGCTCGCCTCCTTTTGCTGTGTGGAAGGCAGATATTCCTCTATCAAACATTCCAGAACTCCGAGTTTATTTAGGGAAATTGCTTGTTCCAACCTTCTCCTTCAACCCACTGTTGCTTTCCCATCAGTTTTGCAAATTTATAACAAGCAGTTGCCCAGGAACTGAAAGCAATCAGGACGCATTTAAACAGGACGCTACACATTTTCAGCCAAGGACACATCAGAATGGCTGGATGTGGGTTCCTTTCAGGATTCTGCTGCCAGCCATCACTGGTGGGCTGTTTTGCCTTGGATATCTCAACCACAACAGCAGAGATGCATCAATGGTCTGCGCTCTGGGGGGAAATGTTTTTGAGTGGAAATTGGACACACTGAATTGGTTAAAGGTGAAAATGCAGAGGAAGGCACATCCCGCAGATGGCGAGGGGCCATCTCACTGGCCGGTGCCACTGCTCTGCTCGTCAGGGGGCCGCTTGCTGGAGCCCAGGAAGCTGAAGGCCCAAGGTAGGGGTGTCTTGTCTGGTCCTGTGTTCAGCAAGTAACTGCTCTGGGGCATTCTCCAAAGAAACAAGGATGGACTTCCCTGGTGGCACAGTGGTTAAGAATCTGCCTGCCAATGCAGGGGACACGGGTTCGATCCCTGGTCCAGGAAGATCCCACATGCCATGGAGCAACAAAGCCTGTGTGCCACAACTACAGAGCCTGCACTCTAGGGCCCGTGCACCACAACTACTGAGCCTGCACTGTAGGGCCCGTGCACTACAACTACTGAGCCTGTGCTCTAGAGCCCGCGAGCCACAACTACTGAAGCCTGCATGCTTGGAGCCCGCATTCCACAAGAAAGAGAAGCCACCACAATGAGAAGCCCACACACTGCAATGAAGACTAGCCCCCACTAGCTGCAACTAGAGAAAGCCCATACACAGCAACAAAGACCCAAGGCAGCCAAAAAAATAAAATAAAAAGTAAATTAAAAAAGAGGGCTTCCCTGGTGGTGCAGTGGTTGAGAGTCCACCTGCCAATGCAGGGGACATGGGTTTGTGCCCTGGTCCGGGAAGATCCCACATGCCACGGAGCGGCTAGGCCCGTGAGCCATGGCCACTGAGCCTGTGCGTCTGGAGCCTGTGCTCCGCAACGGGAGAGGCCACAACAGTGAGAGGCCCGTGTACCGCAAAAAAAAAAGAAAAAAGAAAAAAAGAAACAAGGATGACAGGAAGGACCTTCACAGAAAGATAGACAAAATGAAAAGGCAGAGGATTTTGTACCAGATGAAGGAACAAGATAAAACCCCAGAAAAACAAGTAAATGAAGTGGAGATAGGCAACCTTCCAGAAAAAGAATTCAGAATAATGATAGTGAAGATGATCCAGAACCTCGGAAAAAGAATGGAGGCAAAGATCAAGAAGATGCAAGAAATGTTTAACAAAGACCTAGAAGAATTAAAGAACAAACACCTAGAAGAATTAAAGAACAAACAAACAGAGATGAACAATACAATAACTGAAATGAAAAATACACTAGAAGGAATCAATAGCAGAATAACTGAGGCAGAAGAACAGATAAGTGACCTGGAAGACAGAATGGTGGAATTCACTGTCATGGAACAGAATAAACAAAAAGGAATGAAAAGAAATGAAGACAGCCTAAAAGACCTCTGGGACAACATTAAACACAACAACATTCACATTATAGGGGTCCCAGAAAGAGAAGAGAGAGAGAAAGGACCCAAGAAAATATTTGAAGAGATTATAGTCGAAAAATTCCCTAACATGGGAAAGGAAATAGCCACCCAAGTCCAGGAAGCGCAGAGAGTCCCAGGCAGGATAAACCCAAGGAGAAACACACCGAGACACATAGTAATCAAACTGACAAAAATTAAAGACAAAAAAATTATTGATAGCAACAAGGGAAAAACGACAAATAACATACAAGGGAACTCCCATAAGGTTAACAGCTGATTTCTCATCAGAAACTCTACAAGTCAGAAGGGAGCTGCATGATATATTTAAAGTGATGAAAGGGAGGAAATTACAACCAAGATTACTCTACCAGGCAAGGATCTCATTCAGATTCGACAGAGAAATCAAAAGCTTTACAGACAAGCAAAAGCTAAGTGAATTCAGCACCACCAAACCAGCTCTACAAAAAATGCTAAAGGAACTTCTCTAAGTGGGAAACACATGAGAAGAAAAGGACCTACAAAAACAAACCCATAACAATTAAGAAAACGGTAATAGGAACATACATATCGATAATTACCTTAAACATGAATGGATTAAATGCTCCAACCAAAAGACACAGGATCGTTGAATGGATACAAAAACAAGACCCATATATATGCTGTCTATAAGAGACCCACTTCAGACCTAGGGATACATACAGAATGAAAGTGAGGGGATGGAAAAAGATATTCCATGCAAATGGAAATCAAAAGAAAGCTGGAGTAGCAATACTCATATCAGATAAAATAGACTTTAAAATAAAGACTGTTACAAGAGACAAGGAAGGACACTACATAATGATCAAGGGATCAATCCAAGAAGAAGATATAACAATTATAAATATATATGCACCCAACATAGGAGCACCTCAATACATAAGGCAACTGCTAACAGCTATAAAAGAGGAAATCGACAGTAACACAATAATAGTGGGGGATTTTAACACCCCACTTACACCAATGGACAGATCATCCAGACAGAAAATTAAAAAGGAAACACAAGCTTTAAATGACACAAGACCAGATAGATTTAATTGATATTTATAGAACACTCCATCCAAAAACATCAGATTACACTTTCTTCTCAAGTGCACACGGAACGTTCTCCAGGATAGATCACATCTTGGGTCACAAATCAAGCCTCGTTAAATTTAAGAGAACTGAAATCATGTCAAGCATCTTTTCCAACCACAGCACTATGAGATTAGAAATCAATTACAGGGAAGAAAACGTAAAAAACACAAACACATGGAGGCTAAACTACGTTACTAAAAAACCAAGAGATCACTGAAGAAATCAAAGAGGAAATCAAAGAATACCTAGAGACAAATTACAATGAAAACACAACGATCCAAAACCTATGGGATGCAGCAAAAGCATTTCTAAGAGGGAAGTTTATAGCAGCCTACCTCAAGAAACAAGAAAAATCTCAAATAAACAATCTAACCTTACACGTAAAGGAACTAGAGGAAGAAGAACAAGCAAAACCCAGAGTTAGTAGAAGG